GGCCCGCCGCCTGGCCTCGGGGAGGACCTCGGCAGGGCCGGGCCGGGACGAGGTCAATACCGGCGGCGGGGATGTCTTACATCTTGTTGCCGGCCAAACGATGAGACGGCGGCGGCGGAGCCGGCCGCACCAGCTGCCCCCCGGAATAAGAGCAGCGACGAGGTCGCGTGAAAGAAATGCCATGTTTGCGCCCTCGTAGACGTTCCGTCCTGCCGTATAGGGATCGTCCAAAAAGTACACGTCCGTTTTTTTTTTGTTTTTTTTTCAAAATCTTTCGGCAAATAACAGGCTTGGCCCCTGTGAGACCCGGGGTAGGCCACCCCAGAGTACACGTATGCACTGTAGGCAGGATGTTGCCTACTCGCCAGGCGCTATGAGGCCTTGCATTGGCTGAACTTTGGTAGGTTCGTAACGGCGATTGATGGACGTACTTTCTGGATGATCCAATACCTACTGAGTTGTGTTTTTATTTTCGTAAACGTGAGTCGGCTACATTCATTTTTATGTGCAGTATGTCAACTTTTGCGTTGAGTCCTACACCGCGTTCGTCTATTCTAGTGTGCACTGTTTCGCCTCGTGCACTTGGTACGTGCGTACATGCGTGCTGTTCACACGCAAGCGTGCAGCAGTGCGGCCCCGCTGGCCCTGCGCGGCCTGCTGCGGCCCTCGAGCCTCGGCCGAAACCTCGACTACTGCAAACCTCCTTGGGGACCCTCCGGATCAGCATGATTTCCCCAAAGGGGGCCGCTGCTGGCTGTTCTGTGTTCGCTCCGTCAGCATGGCCGTCAGTGGTCCACGCGAGTGTGGCCGTCAATGGTTTGCCTCGAGGCTTGTGACTGCCCTGCTGGCAGCGTCTGCATGTCCGCGTCAGTGAACAACTACAGGTTACTCCTTTGTCAGTATGTCCATGTCCGTCAGTGGTCGCCCCTTTTGGCATGACCGTCAGATGGTCTGCCTCGAGCCTCTTGGTCTGTAAGCATGGCCGTCAATGGTCTGTCTTGAGCCTCTTGGTCTGTAAGCATGGCCGTCAATGGTCTTACTCGAGTCTCTCGGTCTGCCAGCATGGACGTCAATGGTCTGCCTCGAGCCGCTCCGTCTTCCAACCACATGTCAATGTTCTGGCTTGAGCCTCTCCGTCTACCAACCATCTTGCCAATGGTCTGGCCTTGAATCTGTCCGTCTGCCAACCACCATGGCCGTCAATTGACTGTCGGGGAACTGTCTCTGAACCGCACCGAGACCACCCTGGCGTATGCACATCGTGCTGATAACGCGGTTACTTCTGCTAATGCATTTCGGTCCGTGTGTTGACGTGGACGGGGAGACCCTAATGAGGGACCTTGCAAAGGGGAAGCAGGGGCCGCCGTGCGAGGGTGGGGGGCGGCGGCGGCACGGTGAGGGTCGAGCCGGGGCTGGGATGTGGGGCGGAACTCACTTGCGAATTTGATTCGCACTCTTGCTGCAAATGAATTAGTTGGCGAAAGCACTTGGCGAAAATTTGCTCGGCTTTACTGCTGGACGCGAAATGAGTTGCGCTGGGACTGGGAAATTTTGCCGCCCTGATCCTTCCGCACGGCGGGGTTGTGGACCGTGGACCGTCGTGGTGGTGGTGGTGGTGGTGCGGTGCTGGCGGCCCGGAGGCGACGAGTAGGAGGAGGAGAGCTGGGGGTCCCCCTTGATGATTTGCCAACGACGGCTGAATCTGGGGCGCCCACCCCCTTAACTCTGGTCCCCCCGCGCCACGCCCCGCCACGCCACGGGGCCAGGTCTCCGTACATTGAGACATTCCTATAATTACCCTGGGAGAGGCTGGCTGGCGGGTGGGCCCCGTCGACGCCCCGCCAATCCTCCCCGCAGCGACGGGCTTTGTCCGTGGCGCGCTCCGAAACACCCCGCCCTAGGCCATGCCGCCCCGCCACGCCACGCCCCACCACGCCCCGCCACGCCCCGCCACGCTCATGCAGATAGCCCTGTCTCTTCGACCCCTCTCCAGTGCCCTTCTTTGGGCTCCGCACGCTGCTCTTGTTGTATTTACCTGCTGCGCCGAAATTGCATAGCCACTTTTATCCACCTGTACCCACCCATGCCATCTCAGATTTTTTTTAATTTTTCCCCTTCTTTTAACAAACTGGTTTCTTTGTTAGCCTGCGCTGAAACGTCCGTCTCTTGTCCCGACCCCATAGTCCCCCACCACAATTCTGTCTCATACCGCAACCTCATCTAAAACATAAAGCGGGTTATGTATGAAAATAAAATTAATAACTATAAACAAAAATTTTGAGTGAGTCGGTATTTGAACCCCGGATCCTGGAGGGCCCGCTGCTAATTATACTGAGGTGAGGGAGGACGGCCGCGCTGGCCACTTCACACCACGCGCCGCTAAGCCGCTTAGGAAGGGCGCCGTCGTCTCTCTCTCTCTCTCTCTCTCTCTCTCTCTCTCTCTCTCTCTCTCTCTCTCCCTCTCTCCTCCTCCTTCTCTCCCTCACTCCCTTCCCCTTCTCTTCCTTCCTCGCTCTCTCCTCTCAGTCCCTCCTGTCCTCTTTTCCTCTCTTCCGCGTGCTGTCCACCTGGTGCCTCATCCTCTCGTCTCTCTTCTACGTTACGTACATACCTCTTTCCGTATCTCCCTATACCTTCTCTCTTCTGCATATTCTTCCCTTTCTTTCCCTCCTGCCTCTCCAACTCTACCTCTATAACCCTTTTATAATCTTGACATTCTTTTTCATATTCGCCTCTGTTGAAAGGTTTGATATCTCAGAATACCCGCACGTTAAAAGCGACGTCATGCTTTTCAATAAGACGCTTTGGCCGTCTTGTGGAAGAAGAACGTGTTATGGTTTTACCAAAACGTCATGAAAATCAGGACGCCATTTTTACCCTGCGTTCTCACTCCTTTTTTTCGTTGCGATTTTACATTAAAATAATGAAAAGTATTGTTCTAAAAGTAATTATTGTTGCTACGAAATAAATGTCGTTGAAATTCTTCCCGATGTGGTCCTGTATTTCGACTAGCCTTCGGCTTCCCACTCCTCTGTGCCCTTTCCACAGTGTGCATAACCGTGCGTTTCTATTAATTTTCTATTTTCCCTCGCCCATTTTGGCTGTTCGGGTTATTCCCGGGTGCGGCGCAGGCGGGGACTTTATTTTCCTAAAGCATTCCATTTTTTTCCGGCGTTTTCCATTTTAACCACAAATTACGGGGCCGAGCGGTCGGCGCAAGAGCAAAGATTTTGCGTATGATATATTCATGCATATGTACGCCGACTCGAACATACATGTATATAGACATTTTCACGCACACACGCTCACACACACGCACACATGTATATTTATGAGCGGGTAGAGGGGGCGGGGATTCCATCAGGCTGCTCCGACGTATTGTGCTCTGGAGAATTTAATTTGACTCTTTGCGACTCGCGACGACTTCATCCTTATATTCTGCCGCCGCGCGCGGCAGCAGATGGCGCGCTGCCGCTGACTCCCGTAGTCCACTGTGTGTGTGCGCGCGCGCGCGTGTGTGTGTGTGTGTGTCCTAGTGTGACTCAGATTCGTGATTGGTTTGGAGGAAAAAGAAATAAGAGAGGAATTCGTCCGCTCGACAGAGAAAAGTCGCGTGCGTGATAAATCTCGGACTTTTGTCTCAGAGATTTTTTTATTTATTTTATTTTTAAAAAATGAACTGCAAAACATATTTTGCTCCCACCGCACCAAAACAAACCAATGACGATAGGAAAAAATTGTGTTTCTTTTCGCGCTTGAAAAAGGGCAAAAATCGCGTGCTGCTTTCTGTGTCTGTGCCTGCATGTGTACGCGAGCGCGCGCGATATCGGAGTCGTAGTAATTTGTCGAGCGGGGACTTGATCCTTGTTGATGTATCAAGCCGAAGGCGAAGGAAGCTGAGAGTGGAGGAGGTAGGGGTGGGGGAAGGGGAGGGGGAGCGAGGCGGGGCGTTGGGTCCGCAGCGATACATCGTGTGTGCGAGGTGGCCTCCCCTTCCTCCCCCCTTCCTCCGCCTTCCCTCCCTCCTTCCCTCCCTCCTTCCCTCCCTTCTTCCCTCCTTTCTTCCCTCCTTCCCTCCTTCCCTCCTCCTTCCCTCCTCCTTCCCTCCTCCTTCCCTCCTCCCCACCTATTTCCCCCTCTCCTCCGCCAGCCTCTCTATCCCTTTCTCTCCCCGGGAAATAAAGTGGGCAGCCGGAGTACTTTGAGATCAAGGAGGCCGCGGTGGTGGACGTCACGGCGCAAATGGAGTGTTACTGCGAATTAAAGTGGCCGTGGGCAGCGATCCATTGCGGGGGGTTTGGCGGCAGTGGCTCAGCGAGTGGGGCTCCCGCCAACCGCATGTACTCTGCTGATATTATTTTTGTCAACTCTTCAGAATTTCATAATTTCAACTCAATTTGATTCACCTAATGGCGTGTTCGCCTTAGCTTGTGATGTCGTTCCTTCACTTTTGTTTCCATTGCGTTGGAAGCAGCGATACAGACCATCATTCCACGGTTCTATAAAAATGTGTGTAGCTGTACCACAAGTTTTTCGCCGAGCTTTTCAGCGGGCATGCGTGGCGTTCGTTTATGACTTAATGGGTCCTCATGTCATGTTTTTCTTTTCGCAGGTGTGTTGAGGATTCTGCCAGCCGCCGCTGCCTCCGACATGCCAGCAGCTTGTTGAGAAGGTATTTCACAAACTTTGCGTCTGGGAAAGCAGAGGAGAGGGGGTGATCGTCACGTTGTGATTTTATAATTATCGACGTCGACGACGCCTCGCCTCGCCAGAGTTGGGAACAAATCCCCCCCCCCCCCCCCCCATTTCCGCCTTCCTTTAACACAAACACCCTCATAGTGATGGGTGGCTTTCGCGAAGAACTACGGACAATCCGGTGTAGCTTTTTTCCTTTATTTTTTTCATTTTTTTTTCTTTAAAATATCAAATTAATACACGCAGTACGTATCGACTTCAAATCCATTGGCGACTAAAAAAATGTGCTTTTGTTAATTTTCAACTTAACTTGTGATTCGAGCTTACAATTTATTTATTTTTTGTAAATTTACGACGATACCTTTCAGTGTAGTGTGGCCAGGCGTCCAGTTGGGCCACAGAGCTAAGGAGGGGCAGGGAAGGGGCCAGTAGGAGGAACTACTACAACTTGATTCCTTGCTATCCCGCCTTGATCCCTATTTGGTGAGGTACCAGATACCTTCGTCCAACTGCAATTGGAATGCTGGTTAGGTTATGGACTCGCTGCTACTGCGGTTCGAGGAAGCTATGGAAAGATGGTTCCGAGAAATTGGGCGTGCAGCATTGCTATTATTAGTTATTAATTTCTTCTTAAACGAATCTTGAAAAAAATATCGTTATTTGCCTTGTAAAGGTGCCTCTCTAGAAACGAGCAACCGTCCTTGTAACACAGACAATGAGGAGAGGATTTTCCCAGAAGAGTAAGGAAAAGAAAATTACGTGGTTTGTGAGCGAAAGTAAGCCGGAAGTGGCGATGGGGACCTCCTGCGGCCTCGGCGCAGGCGGCCCAATAGGGCTGTGGGTGGGGGGCGGCCGGGAGAGACCGGAAACCGGAAACGGACAGACTGCGACGTGGTCCGTCTTGCTTATTAGTAGCGGCAATAGGGCCGGACTTCCGGCTCGAGGGGGCACCGCTGGGAGAGAGGGAGCGAGCGAGCGAGCGAGCGAGACAACGCTGCGGTGTCTTCACACGGGACTTCATAGAGGACTTTGGCGCAACTTTTTTTTCCCGCCCTCAATATATACTTCTAATGAGAGTGAGGGAAGAGAGGGGGGGGGGGGGGAGGTAGGGCGCTTTGAGGAGCAGCAGTGCTGTATTGATGCAGCACAAGTTTGAGCAGAGCGGACTGATTAAAAGTTATCTGGACTTATTGCATTGTTACTGTTACTGTTGCTGGTAATGATGACCCTCTCTACTCTCTCTCTTGCTCGTCCTCTCTCTCTCCCGCAGCCCCCCCCCCCTCTCTTCCCTCCCTCCCCGTTTCCATGCTGTTGTATTTCTGTCACGGTAGTTTTTCCAGCCATATTCGTGTGGCTGTGGTTTAAAGGGAGGGGGTTTTGGGCGACGCATTCTCGTCGTGATTCCGACCGCACGCAAGTGGTGCTGGACGTGCCGTCACCGCAGCAGCGCGCTCTCTGACAGTTTAGCGGGGCGGGGCGGGCGCAAGGGGAGATACGGTCGCATGTGCGCCTTATTAAAACAGCTCGCACGGTCTCAGTGTTTCCCCTAGAAAAAAAACAAAACTAGACTCACGAAAGTAAAGACAGTCGTGTGTGCGGTTGAATCATTTCTTTTAATGCTATGAAAAATAATGTAGAAAACGCGTGTTCAACCCATACGAGTCCGTTAATATTTGTCTGTATATCTGCGGCTTGGTGTGCCGTGCCCGGCGCGGGGACCGACCGACACCGCCGCCATGGCGACCGACCGCAACCTAATATCGCGCGCAAACTCACCGCACCGTGAAGGCGGTCGACAGCAGGGGCGGCGCTGGAGCAGGGCGGCCCGTCCGGCAGCCGCCGGGCCGTCAGGCGATGCCGTCGTCAGGGGCCCGTGCAGCCCTGCCGCTGCCTGACCGAACGTTATCACACGCGTTGGGCTTGCGGGAGAGAGAGAGAGAGAGAGAGAGAGAGAGCGCGCAGGAGAAGTTGCGGGGGTAAGGGAGAGGCTAACGGGGGGACGTTTCCCTTCTACGCGCTGTGTGTGTGTGTGTGTGTGTGGCCGAGAGGCCGAGTTATACTACTGCGTGTTTTTTCCCTGCTCCCCATACGAGTCACCTAACTACAGTAATTTAATCCTCCCCGCACACAGCCAGTGCGCCCCACCCCCACCCCTCTCTTCCTTTTCCTCT